ACTGAATTGAAAAGACAAAGACTAATAGAATGAATAAAAACCATGAACCTTTAATATGCTGCTTACAAGAAATGTACCTTAGATATAAAAATAAACATAGACTAAAATTAAAAAATATATCAAGCTAATAGCAGTCAAAAAAAAGCTGGAATGGCAATATGAATATCAGAAAAATATCCACCAAAGTTAATAATATAATGAGAGACGGAAAGGTCACTATATAATTATGATAGCTTTAATTTAAAAAGAAACCATAACCATAATTAATATAGATGCACCAAATGAAAGATCATCAAAATGTATTAACCAAATTCTTATATAAATGAAGAGGTAAATAGTATTATACTATGATAATATTAGGAAACTTCAATACATTACTTTCAGTTAAAGCTCAATCAGCTAGAAAAAAATAAACAAAGATACAAAAAATTAACTAGCACCATCAATCAATATACAACACTTCATCCAACAAGATTCATTTTACTTTCTTCTCCAGCACTCAAAGCAGGTAGAATAGATCATATTTTAGGTCATAAAGCAAGCCTCAATAAATTAAAAAACATTGAAATAATACAAACCACCTTTTTAGATCACAATGTTTTAAAATTAGAAATCAACCATAGAATGATAAACTCAAAAAAATCAAATACATGGAAATTGAACAACACTTTACTTAAGAACCACTGGTTAATTGGAGAAATAAAGAACACAGCCAAAAGATTCCTTGAACTAAATGACAATGAAAATATCACATCAAAAGCAGTACTCAGAGGACAGTTAATAGTAATAAGGTAATAAGGTAGAAATAACTCAAATAAATACCTTAATACATCCACTACAACAATTAGAAAAAATGTAGCAAAACAAACCATCAGATATTAGAAAAAAAATAAAGACTAAAGAATAGATCAGAAATAAATGATTCAGAAAAATTAAAAACTATAGAAAAATCAGTAAGAAGCTGGTTCTTTGAAAAGATTAACAAAATTGATAAACTACTGGAAAATCTAAAAGAGGAAAAGGATGAGAAAAAGAAAATTATACACATTAGAAATGAAATTGATGATATTACAATAGAACCAAATGAGATTTTAAAAGTCACACAGTAGTATGAAAAATTGTATTCAAGCCGATTTGAAAATCTAGAAAAAGTAGATAAATTTCTAGAAAAGCATTGATTGGTTATATGCCCTAAAGAAATCAAGATTGCAACAAGAACAGACATGTGCACACCTGTTTATTGCAACAATTTCCATAGAAAGAAAACATGGAAGCAACTCAAAACCCCCAACTACAGAGGAATGGATAAATAAGCTCTGGTACATTCATACTATGAAATAGTATGCATCAATAAAAAACAATGACAACTCTCTTAAACACTGCAGGACATGAACAAAACTAGGGAATATTACACTTACCAATTTCAATCCTACAAAAATATTTAATAACAGCATTTTAATAAGAAATAACAAAGAAGAAGAAACATGTTTTTTACACCAATAGACAGGATTTTGATGACTATAAGGACACCAGGGACAAGAAGCAGAAACTAGGAGAGGGGAGAGATGGGTAGTTGATGGGGGAGAGAGGAGGGAAGAGGAGAAATAAAGAATCACATATATGGTAGTTTTAATAGGATATTGTTAATTTCTTTAGACGGCTGTGTAAATATAAAATGTAAAAATATTTCTCCAGATTCCTTTTCTCTCAAACCTAAATAGTGGTCTGAATGGCTTAAAAATGTTTTGTTTTGTTTTCAAAAAGAACAGGGTTTAGAGACTCTATTCCTTTCTTTTCTCTTCTAGGTTCAAATATTTCAAGCATCTCCTGGAAAGGTGTGGCCCTTAGATTTGTTAGTAAATCATTTTCTCAAAACAGGGATATTCGACTGAACATGGGTATGGGTCTACACTATTGGCTCATTGTTTTGGTCTAGGCAATGAAAACTGTACTGATGAGGATGCTGCTGCTGATGGGGTTAACAAGGGAGGGGAGAATGAGTAGGTGGAAGACAAATGTGTGTTTCTGTCCCCAGGTTGCAAAGCATTCATTTCTTCCTCATCCAATCTAATTGATCACTGAGATGAAACACCATGTATCTATAATATCGTCAATTTAGACCCTGTGGTCAGCCAGGTTAAATGACTTGTACCTCACCCCACCTCCCAAACAACCTAAACAAAACAGTTACATGAATGTGAGAAGAAACATGACTAGGAGGTAGAATGTGTGATTAGAATCCTAGCTGTACACTTGACATGTTATGGGAGTTTGGGCAAATGCTTTCAGCACTTTGAGGCGCAGTTTATTCTCTTAAACACGTTTTAGGGTTTTTTGCCCTGATGATGCAGTGAACTAAGCACTAGACAGCTAACCAAAAATTATTAATTTATTGGAGCTACTCTGAGGGGAAAAGTTGAAGCAGTCTGCTTTTGTAAAGATTTACAGCCTCAGAAATCCTATGGAGAGTTCTACTTTGTCCTATAAGGCTACAAATTGGATCAACTTAATGTCAGTGGGTTGAGATTCAATGAAATAAAGATGGTAAATATGTTTGGAAATGGAAGTGCCATCCATGTGTGAAGAATATTTTTGCAATAATAGTAATTCACCACAGGAGGTTATCCCCGCCTCAAAGATCCAGGTCCTGATGTGTTTGTATTATTCAGGGAAGCACTATTTATTATTAATCATCTCATTAACCAAGAAATCACTTCCTTGTAGATAATTAAACTTGTCAAGGACCTTAAAAATAATCTGGCTTTCTTTAAAAAAAAGTTTTATTAGTACTTCATCCACATGTCATACAATTCAAGAATTCGATCATATCAATAAAAGTTCTCCAATTGTCACCATATTCAATTCTAGAACATTTTCTTCTGCTTTATACTCACTGCTGTTTGTGTAATTTTGTTCCTAATTTTGGCCAAAATATACATAACAAAACATTCTCCAATTCCACAACTTCTGCTTGTATAATTCAGCCTATCGATTATATTCTTCATGTTGTCAACCATTTGTGATATCATTTTCCAAATTATTCCACCACCATTGACATAGTCTCAATGCCCACTAAACAACATCTCTTTACCCACCACCCATGGTAACCATTGGTCCAGTTTGATTTTTTTAAAGTAGCTTTCTTGATATAGTATTCACATATTATATACTTCCATGGTTTTTAAATGAGCTTTTTAAATGAGTTGTAAATACATAATCAAAATCCGTTCTAGTGTTCCCTCCCTCCTCCTGCATTCATTAGCTTTCTTTACTATGAGACAGAGATTATTTAAATACAGTGGATCGAAACATGGTATAATATAATACTTGGTCAGTTGACTTCCCTCTTGACCCAACCTAAATTTGCTCAAGGCTCAAGTATTTCTTGCTTCTTCCATGACAGAAATTTCTTCTCTGGTCTTTTAAATGCTGATGTTGGTCTTTTCTTTCTTATGCTTTGTTTGTATTTTACTCTATATATTATTATTTTCTTCTTACAATTTGTTTTGGTTTTGTTTCTTATTGTTTCTGTTAGGCTTCCCAGTTTGTGAAACACAGAAGGAATGGATGCATAGACAATAACTGATGCAATGGTTTATCAGGGAAGTGGAAAGAGGTTGGAGGTTAGGAGGGTGAGGAGATTTGGGGAGTACCACAATGAATGTGGGAGGGGTCAGGAGCACTAGAACAGAGTCTGATGTACAACTCTTTTAAAAATCAATTTAACCATGGAAGTGCATGATATGGGAATACTCTATCAAGAAAACTACTAAAAAAGAAAAGAAGAAAGAAAGAAACTAGACTTGACCAATGGTTACCATGGGTGAAGGAGAACAAGTTGTTGGTTAGAGGGCATTGAGTTTATGTTAATGGTGGTGGAATAATTTGGAAAAGGATATCAATAATAGTTGTACAACGTGAAGAGTACAATCAATGGCACGGAATAATACATGTAGAAGTTGTGGAATTGGAGAATGTTTTGTTGTGTATTTTTGGCCACATTTAGAAAAAATAATTATATGACTAACAATGAGTATAAGGAAAAATAAAATGTTCTAGAATTTAATGTGGTGATAATTTCACAACACTTCTTGATATGATTGAATTATTAAGTTGTATGACATGTGGATGAAGTGCTAATAAAACTGCTAAAATTAGTCTAGGTTTCTGATAATATAT